ATTGAAGGTTCGAAATGAAGTGTACCCAAAATCTAGTAAACGAAAACGTAAGGATAAGTGGAACCTCGTAAGCTTCGAAACACCGTCTCCAACTGCTAGAACTATTGACAGACAAAAAAAACTCAACAAGAAGACTCCGAGCCAAGCTGTCAAGACACCTACTAAAAATTTGCCACCCAGCGCCTCTGCTCCATCCATTGGCCCACCATCTTTTGAAATGACCGCTTCTAATCCCACATCTTATGAATCGCTTATCGTTAACACAAATATTGCAAATGATCAAAATCGAAGTCCTGATGTAAACAATATTTCAGATAATGATCCCAACATTGATAATAATAACAATTTTGATATTTCGGTTTCAACTTTTATGCAAAATGATATTACATCTTTTCAAGAAATCATCCGGCACTTAAATAGAACCGAGTCTTCGGATCCTTTGAATAGAGATTTGAATAACGAACCAAGTTTCAAATATGATAACAGTGCACGCGATGCACAAGCACGCGTAAATTCATTTACAACACTTTACATACCTCCGAACATTTTGAACGTGAATAATAACGGCCCTGCCTCGAGTTATGCTTCTGCAAATAATAATATTATAAATAGAAATAATATGATAACACCTTCGAGTTCTCCCGACATCTCGTTCTCGGGAGATAATATGATTCATTATTATACTCCTCTCATTCGTAATGTTGATTTTACGGAATTGGATTCTACCGGATATTCCTTGGATAAAGATTAGACTTTTTTTTTTGGTAGAATCCTAATTTGGACTTTTCATTTCGTACTAAATTCTTTGCACATACAATTCAAGATAATCTTATTTCGGAGAGGAAAAATATATATGTAAATACTAGTCACCGTTGATTATTTTATTGTTTACGTAAACGATCTCTTAGATTTCTTACGTTCATGGCTTTTACTTAACCCGTGAACGAGGGTATTTTTATTACTAAAATTAAGTTCTTTATTACTAATCAACGTGATGGACGTTTTATTTTCATTCCAAAACCCTTTTACACATCCCTATATTCTTTCATCATGAGCATCTAAGTTTATCACTTTACAGATATCCCCATGCTGCATGATGATCGAATTAAGAGAATCGTCATACGGGCGGTTTTGCATACCTACGTAATGTGCAGTGTATAAAGAATACACTATTGTAATTTTTTAGTCAATCTGGAAAATCCTTATAATATGGCGTTATTGTTTGCGTTATACAGTATATCTTAAATAATTATTTATTTGTCAGA